ACCGACCAATCAATAGCTCTCCTTTGTTCCACCGAGGCGAAAAGAAGCTGTTGGGCTGTGCCTTAGCGGCACAGGTCAGACCTTGCTGGACTTGTGATTGGACGGGAAGTACAACCACGCAGTTGAGTGAGGGGATAGGCCTCGTAGGGTGGGGGGGGGGCCTGGCGGGGGCGTCCGGATTGGACCCTTGGCGATTTCTGATTCGCTCGGACCCCCTACCTACACTACTTCTAATAATTCCGGAATCTCGCGTAGCCTTACCCGTTCAAATTCCGGAACAGGGGTCTCGCCAACTCTTAATTATTTTTTTTCGGGGAAATTACCCTTCAAAAATAAGGCCTGCTCATCACCCCTAATTGGAGCATCCCCCCAGGTCGCCGCGTCCTCCCAGGTAGCTCCAGCCTGCTCGTGTCTGTCACTTACCCACCCTTCATTTCTGTGGCACAACCGCTTAGGTCACCTCGCACTCCCGCGTCTGTGTCAAATGTCCCATCATGGGCTTGTCTTCGGTCTCCCTACGTTGCTCCCTGCCCTCCCTCCCTCGCCTGTGCCGCCGTGCACGCCTTGCGTCAAGGGCTGGCTGCACCGTGCTCCTTACTCCTCCTCGTTCCCCCCTACCACTGCGCCACTCCAGACCCTGCACCTAGACGTCTGGGGCCCAACCCCCGTCCCAGGGCTGCGTCGAGAGCGCTACTTTATGGTGCTTGTCGACGACTACACGTGCTACACCACGGTGTTTCCCTTGGAGTGGAAGGCCTATGTGCCTGCCGTTCTTATCTCGTGTGTCGTAGCTACGCGGGTCCATCGCGGCCTCCATGTGCTTCGTCTTCACTCCAACTGTGGTGTCGAGTTCGCCTCCGGTCGGTTTGGCCAGTTCCGTCGTGCGGAGGGCATCACCCAGACGCACACCCTACCGGACTCCCTGCAGAAGCATGGGGTCGCTGAACAACGCATCAGTTTGGTCATGGAGGTGGCTCGTACATCCATGATCCATACCGGTGCACCCCATTTTTTGTGGCCGTTCCCAGCGACAGCAGGTTTCGCCGACCCTTCTCTGGACTGCGTTCCCCAGTGACGCATCTGCATTCCACGTCTGTGGCTGCCTTGCTCACGTTCGTGCCTCTGGCACGGACAAGCTCACTGCACGCACCGTCCCTTGTGGCTTCCTTGGTTTCCCCCTCTATGTGTCAGACTGGCACTTTTACCACCCACCGTGTCATCGCTTCTTTCACTTTCGTAACCTTACTTTTGACGAGCATATCTCCTTCTACACCCACATCCTCCACCGAGGTCTCCCGGTTGCCCCACCCCTCTTTCTGGTCCCCACTCCCCCGGTAGCCCTTGCTCCTCTTCCTCTGCTCCCTGCCTCGTCTGGTGTGTCTCATGTCACTCCCCTCCCGTCGGTTTTCCCGGTGGAGGATTCGGCTAACTCCGGGGGCCTCGCAGCTTCTATTTCGCCGCCTGTCTCTTCCCTGATGTCTCCTCCTCCGCCATTGCCGCCGCCGCGGAAGCAGCAGTTGCCGCCGTCGCAGCCGCAGCCACCGAAAGGGTCCGCGAATTCTGGGGGTGTGGGCGTTTGGGCGGGTGCTAGTCCTGTGGTTATTGTCGTGGCTTGTCCCCGTGGTCCTGGGGATGGCACCGGTGCTACAGAGGGTTCTCATTCTGGGGGTGCGGGTTCAGGGGGTGCTAGTCCTGGGGTTACTGTCGTGGCTTGTCCTAGCGGTCTCGGGGGTGGCACCGGTGCTGGAGAGGGTTTTCGTCCTGGGGGTGTTGGCGTGGAGCGTTCCGGAGGTAGCCGTGGTGCAGCTGGAGGTTTTGGTGTCGGTGTGTCGCCGCCGGTATCCGCCCTTTGCCTCCTCGGTCTTCCCTCCCCTAACCACCCGCCTGCGCCTCCTCGTGTGTCTATGGTCTCATGTTTCCTCCGCCAGACTCGTCTCCGGCTCGTTTTCCCCCGCATTCTCCTCCCGTGTCTCCTCCTGTGTCTCCTGACCCGACGCCTCCCTCCCACGTCTGGTCTTGCTATCCCTCACATGCTCGTCCTGTCTCTCCTGTCTAGCGATCTCACCCTATGTTGCTCCGTTCCCACGCGTCTCGTCCTTCCCGTCACCTCCTCCGTCCTCACTTGTTGTTGCTCCACCTCCCTTGTCCGACTTCCTCCGGGCTGCTAGTGCTCTTGTTCCTTGGGTCCTCGCCTCTCTTGTTACCGACTCTTCTGTTCCTGTCTCCAGTCCTGACCCTTATGTTGCTGCCGTCACTGACTTTGCCTCTATCCACCGCCTTCACTACGCCATCGCTCTGGTCTCTGACCCTGTCCATCCTCCGTCCGCCGGGGGTGCTCCTGCCCTTGGTAGTGACGTCTTGGAGGACTGGCAGTATGAGCTTGCTTTCCTGTCCGAGGTCGCGCCTCATCTCTGCTCCATGCTGCTAGTCCTTGAGGGGGCCCCAGACGCCTTTGACATTCCGACCCCTTGCACTTACGCTGAGGCGACCTCGAGACACTGGCCCTCTCAGTGGATAGCTGCCATGGACGCAAAGATGGCATCTTGGAGATCCACCTGACGTAAACGTATTCGATGGCCGGTGGCTCTTCAAGGTGAAGCGCCCTCCTGGAGAGCCGCCGGTGTTCAAGGAGCGCTACGTTGCTAGAGGCTTTAGTCAGCGTAAGGGTGTTGACTTCTTTCAGACCTTCACCCCGAACCCGTAAATGACTATCCTTTGGATGCTGCTACACGTGGCAACACATGACTACGAGCTGCACTCCCTTTACATCTCCACAAGGTTTCTTCAGGGTAGTCTTCACGAGCAGGTCTACCTGCGTCGCCCACGAGGCTTCACCGGCACCTTTGCCCCCGGAACCCAGTGGCTCCTCCGACGCCCGGTTTACGGCCTGCGGTAGGTGTCCCGCGAGTGGCACGATACGTTGCGTGCTAAATTAGCTGACCTGCAGTTCTTCCCGTCCTCTACCGACCCTTCGCTTTTCGTTCCTTCAGGCCAGACCCCGTTCCACATCCTTGTCTACATAGGCGAACTTGTCTTTGTCATTGCAGACAAGGAGGCACTGGCCTCTGTAAAGGTTGAGCTGCTGATGAGACACACCTGCACTAACCTAGGAGAGTTGCGCTGCTACTTTGGCCTGCAGGTCTCCAGGGACAGAGCAGCAGCACCATCACTCTCATACAGTCACACTTGGTGTGCCAGGTCCTTCACAGGTTCGATCTTCAGTTCTCCTCTGCACAGTTTACACGTCTGCCAGTAGATCACAAGCTTTCAACTACAGTCTCTGAGGATTCAGAAGAGCCTAGTGGTTCGTACGCAGAGCTGGTGGGTTGCCTCATGTACTTGATGACTTGCACTCATCCATATCTCGCATACCCTCTCAGCATCCTAGGTCGCTTTGTGGCAACAGGCAGACACCGAACGCAGCACTTTTCGGCTGCTAGGAGGGTTTTGCGTTATCTAGCAAGTACATCGGGCATGGGCCTAGTGCTAGGAGGACGCAGGCTAGTGGTCCTTACAGAGCACACAGACGCTTCGTCGGCAGACGACACTGAGACACTCACGTCCTCCCAAGGCTATTGCTTTAGCCTTGGTGCAGTTGCCATCTCGTGGAGGTCCAGACGCTCGTCGTCTGTTGCCCAGTCTAGCTATGAGGTTGAGATCTATGCCGGTGCCATGGCGGCACAGGAGCTCCGCTGGCTGACTTTCTTGCTCACAGACTTAGGTGAGTGGCCTAGCTCTGCCCTGGTCCTGCACGCTGACTATAGGATCATGATCCTCTTGTGTCAGGAGCCTCGACTGGAGGGCAGAGCGAAGCACATCCAGCTGCGGTACTTCCTTCTGTGCAAGCTACAGTAGCGCCGCGAGGCCCACGTAGTACATTTGGCCTCTAGTGCTAGCACAGCTGATATCGTTACGAAGGCGCTTGCGCCTAAAAATCAGCAGTGACAATAAGTACAACTTGGTCTAGTTTCTGTAGCTTTTCACTTGCTAGGACCTTAATTGTGTACTACTCCTTATATTGTCCTGAATGGCGTTGTGGCTCTTGCTCCAGAGGCTGGACTAGTAGTGCCGGCCTATGTTGATCCTATTTAGTTTGTACTCTTGGTGACGGTCTTCGGACCCTTGCCTCAGAGATTGGACTAGTAGTGCCACCCTGGGCTGCGTGTCTCGTGCCTACCACTGCCCCTCATCAAGCCTAGGCGGTGTGTCCAGCATATATTTATATGTTACTATAGGCTAGATAGATGCGTACTCTTAGAGAGTACAAGTCCTTATTACAAAACCACGACTCGGGTAACTGCCCACGCTTTATTACAGAGTCAGTTATGTGTCCTTTCTGTCGTGACGGGCCCTTGAACGTCTGTCTGTTTAGGGTTTGTATGTTACGTGTCAACGATCATTGCACTTCGTGGTTTGCGTCATAGATGCGAACCTGACAAGGTTACGGCTCGAGTGTCACTTTCAGGTATGTTAGTTATTCCTTATTGTAACATCACATACCTAACTTTCTATCAGAACTCAGCTGCTAACCACTGAGTTAAAAGGGCTTGTTAATAGCGGGTCAGTGCGCCTATAGCCCCCCAGGCTCTGCACCTGTGGCCCTTCCCCAAGGATCTTCTCAAGGGTAACCCTAGCGGGTCTCTTGACACTTACGTGTTTTATAGCTTGAAAATTATTGAATCTTTTCGAGCGAGGTACTTGTTTCTATCAAATAGGCTTCAACATCTGAATGGTTTTATCGACTCATACTTATTATGTTCCTACCAAATCCACCTTGAACTCTGAAGATATACGTTTTTATGGGATTTTATTTTACTTAAATACATAGATATCTTATGTAGACACGATCATATATTCTCACTCAATCTAGATCAATTTGCTAGTCATCTAAAGCATGAGGTTGAGGGCTTGTTCGTTCTGTGACGAGGATTTTCTCGCATCCACGTCAAGCCAAGGTGGTTAAAAAATCTCCTGCACTTGGTCAGCAGCACCCTCCATCCTGGTTCCAGTCCCTAAAGCTGAACGGTGCGACTGCACCATCTGACCGAAGGGTGGCGAGGGAGTAGTCTGAGCGGAACTATTCTCGTTTCCGGACCATTGGAGCTTTCAGCCGCGCGCAACCGTTGTCTATGGAAAGAGACTGCTTGCTCGATGAATCCTCGCCTCTCATTCAGTCTCCTCAGTCTCGACCGTCCGTCGCCACTGTCTGTCGCACGTCGCTGGACTACAGCAGCCTTACACGTGTACCGAACACCGAATCAAATCTTGAACTTTGGGATAGACGATCGAGCGAGGGTCTTACCAGGGGTTTGACTGGTTGCCACGTGGCACAGCCAACAGCAGGCCGCAGCACAGGACATGGCGACGCAGCGTTAGCCGACCTCGATGACGTGGAGCTCCTGCAGCCCTCCACGTGTCCATCTGAGCGCGAATACAGAAGCGGGCACGGAAGCTCACAAGCGAGTCAGAGCCGCTGCGGAGAGGTGTCTGAGGAGGGGTGTGACCATGAAGGGGGTTCGTTAAATAAAACGAAGAGTCTCGCAGACAGCGGAGCAGCGCGGGATCAACAGCACCCATGGCGATTCCCCTGGCCGTGGTGGTGCTGCCCTTGGGATTGCCGAGAGGAGTGGCGGTGGGTGAGCTCGTGGGACGAGTGGCGATGGGTGTACTCGCGGGACGGGCTTAAAGCCCTGGCGCTCGGCCAGCTCATGTCGCTGCTGCTCACCGCCACTGCCACGTGCTCCGCGCTGCTCGCCGCCAGAGGTGCGCTGGGACCATGACACGTGGCGACGAGTGCCACGTGGAGATGGTTTCACGGCATCGTGCTTTAGTCCAACTTTGTTTTGAGGCGCCTGCGAAACTGTTCCTGGCACTTGGTGTCTGTGATGTGATGTGATGTGATGTGATGTGATGTGATGTAATGTGATGTGATGTGATGTGATGTGATGTGATGTGATGTGATGTGATGTGATGTGATGTGATGTGATGTGATGTGATGTGATGTGATGTATGTGATGTGATGTGATGTGATGTGATGTGATGTGATGTGATGTGATGTGATGTGATGTGATGTGATGTGATGTGATGTGATGTGATGTGATGTGATGTGATGTGATGTGATGTGATGTGATTTTATGTGATGTGATGTGATGTGATGTGATGTGAGTGTGATGTGATGTGATGTGATATTGCCTACCGCCCTTATCTGACAAGGGGCTTGGATGGTTGCCACGTGGCAGGTATCAGCATCCCCACCTTCCAATCTCTCCTCAACTACCTGCTCCTCGCGTCCGTCTATGGCGCCATCCTCATGCACCGCAAGACTCCGCTCACTGTAAGCACGCACTGTTAAAATCACACACTGCTGTAAGCGCGCACTGCTGTAAGCACGCACTGCTGTAAGCACGTCTTGCTGTGAGCACGCCTTGCTGTGAGCTCGCCTTGCTGAGAGCATGCAGTGCTGAGAGCATGCAGTGCTGAGAGCATGCTGTGCACCTACCTACTGAAGCTATTTGCAATGCAGCACTTTTCTATTGTAACCCCCCTGGACTGGACTGTTAAAACTCCTCGATATAAGCACCCTCAATGCGAGCTGCTCACATGCTCGCGCGTATCACCCACCATGCCATCCATGCCATGATGCCCCCATGCCATGATGCCCCCATGCCATGATGCCCCATGCCATGATGCCCCCATGCCATGATGCCCCCATGCCATGATGCCTCCATGCCATGATGCCTCCATGCCATGATGCCCCCATGCCATGATGCCTCCATGCCATGATGCCCCCATGCCATGATGCCCCCATGCCATGATGCCCCATGCCATGATGCCCCCATGCCATGATGCCCCCATGCCATGATGCCTCCATGCCATGATGCCTCCATGTCATGATGCCCCCATGCCATGATGCCTCCATGCCATGATGCCCCCATGCCATGATGCCCCCATGCCATGATGCCTCCATGCCATGATCGGATTTGACTAGAAGGCACCTAACGCACCATTCGAGGTGCCATAGGTGATGTTTGATGATTTCCACAGATCGCAGACCTCCTCCTCCTCCATGCACCCAACACAACTTCCAGGTGCCGTGGCGGGTCCTCCTGCTCGCCTCCTTTCTTGACGTCGAGGGGAACTACTTCGGTCAGTATCTCGCCCTTTTCGCCCTCTGCTCCTAACGCTCAATGGCTTCAACGGCTCTCTTCCCTCGCTCCTCAGAGGCAGTCCTTGTTTCGCCCTCGGCATGCTTTCCCATCCTGCCATCCCACGGCATGCTTTCCCATCCTGCCATCCCACGCGCCACAATCACATTCCCCTCCACACCCACCCCTCCGCCCCTCCCTCCCCTCCCTCCCCCCTCCCTCTCCATTCGTGCTCGCCCTCTGCTTCACTTATGAGAATTCTAAAAAGTGACTCCTCTTCACCGTGTTGAGTCAAGTCACTCGCCTTCACTGCTGCCTGTTTCCTGCTCTCCACGCCTTCCCCTCCTGCTTGCCGCAATCACAGCCCCCCCAAACCTACCCCTCTCTCCCTCCGCTCCTCCTTCCTTCCATTCTCTCCAGTCGCCCTCACCGTCCGCTGCACCTCCTTGACTCGCGTCACCCTCCTTGACTCGCGTCACCCTCCTTGACTCGCGTCACCCTCCTTGACTCGCGTCACCCTCCTTGACTCGCGTCACCCTCCTTGACTCGCGTCACCCTCCTTGACTCGCGTCACCCTCCTTGACTCGCGTCACCCTCCTTGACTCGCGTCACCCTCCTTGACTCGCGTCACCCTCCTTGACTCGCGTCACCCTCCTTGACTCGCGTCACCCTCCTTGACTCGCGTCACCCTCCTTGACTCGCGTCACCCTCCTGCACTGCTGCATGTTTCCCTCCATGCCTTCCCCTCCTGCTTGCCACCAGCACAGACCCTCCCATCTTCCTCGTTCCCTCCGCTCCGCCCCTCCCCCCTCCAGTGGTGCTGGCCTTCCGCTTCACCTCGTTGACTCGGGTCACTCTCCTTGACTGCTGGGCCATCCCAGCCGCCATGCTCCTGGCAGCGCTCTGCCTCTCCACACGCTACCACTGCTCGCACGTCCTCGGCGCCCTGCTCTGCACTGCCGGCCTCGCCGTGCTGCTCCTCTCAGACGCAGGTAAAACCCGAGGGGGAGTGCTGTGCTTCCTGCTCTGCTCGCCTATTTCTCTGTCTCTCACAGCGCTACCAGCCTACCAATGCTCGCATATCAAAGGCGCCGGGCGCCCTGCTCTGCCTGCAGCACTGCCAGCCTCGCCCGGCTCATCCTCTCACACGCAGGTAAAACCTGAGGGGGTGTGCTTCTTCCTCCCCTTTTTCTCCATCTCTCCATGCACTTCCCTGTTCGTTGTCTCTCCATGCACTACCCTGTTCGTTGTCTCTCCATGCACTACCCTGTTCGTTGTCTCTCCATGCACTACCCTGTTCGTTGTCTCTCCACGCACTTCCCTGTTCGTTGTCTCTCCATGCACTTCCCTGTTCGTTGGTCGCAACACTCGTCAGATCCGCTGGTCGTTAAACAGCAGGCTCTAAGGGGGATCCAAATCAACTAGAGCCAGCTTTGGTGTACATCCAACTTTGTAGGAATCCGCCCTAAGGCCTTGTTATGTGCTGATGAAGGTTCTGTAGCACGTGGAGAAGCTACATGTCCACGCATCGGCCCTGATCGGTACGCAGTCATTCCAGAATGCGGAATGAGGAATTCACACCGACCGTCGGTTGGATTTTTTTTGCCCGCATCCGCAGGCTGGTGCACTTTCTGGCGATCGGTACAAACCCATATTCCAGGAGGCTCCATGCACTTCCCTGTTCGTTGTCTCTCCATGCACTTCCCTGTTCGTTGTCTCTCCATGCACTACCCTGTTCGTTGTCTCTCCATGCACTTCCCTGTTCGTTGTCTCTCCATGCACTACCCTGTTCGTTGTCTCTCCATGCACTTCCCTGTTCGTTGTCTCTCCATGCACTTCCCTGTTCGTTGTCTCTCCATGCACTACCCTGTTCGTTGTCTCTCCATGCACTTCCCTGTTCGTTGTCTCTCCATGCACTACCCTGTTCGTTGTCTCTCCATGCACTTCCCTGTTCGTTGTCTCTCCATGCACTTCCCTGTTCGTTGTCTCTCCATGCACTTCCCTGTTCGTTGTCTCTCCATGCACTTCCCTGTTCGTTGTCTCTCCATGCACTACCCTGTTCGTTGTCTCTCCATGCACTTCCCTGTTCGTTGTCTCTCCATGCACTTCCCTGTTCGTTGTCTCTCCATGCACTTCCCTGTTCGTTGTCTCTCCATGCACTACCCTGTTCGTTGTCTCTCCATGCACTTCCCTGTTCGTTGTCTCTCCATGCACTACCCTGTTCGTTGTCTCTCCATGCACTTCCCTGTTCGTTGTCTCTCCATGCACTTCCCTGTTCGTTGTCTCTCCATGCACTACCCTGTTCGTTGTCTCTCCATGCACTTCCCTGTTCGTTGTCTCTCCATGCACTACCCTGTTCGTTGTCTCTCCATGCACTTCCCTGTTCGTTGTCTCTCCATGCACTTCCCTGTTCGTTGTCTCTCCATGCACTTCCCTGTTCGTTGTCTCTCCACGCGCTTCCGCTGCTCCCGTGCCATTGGTGCTCTGCTCTGCACTGCCGGCCCCGCCATGCTGCTCCCGTCAAACACATGTAGCAGCTGAGGGGGTGTGCTTCTTGCTGCCCTCTCTCAAGGCGTGTTGGCGGAAGCTAGGCTCATGCGCTGCCACTGCTCACATGTTGTGTGTAAGCACCCTCTTTTCGAGAATTCTCCAAAATGACTCCAACTTCGTTGTAAGCGCTCTTCTCTGCTCGTTGCAGCCATGATCCCCTCTTTCCGTCCTCCCTTCTTGACCTCCTACGTCCTCCTCTCCTCCTCGCCCCACCTGTCAGCCTCAGGGTCATCCAAGCCACCAGACAGCACTGCCGGTGGCAGCAGCAATGCGACTTTGGGAAACGCGCTTGTGATTCTTGGTGCCACTTTGTACGCAGCTTCCAACGTGTCAGTGGTGAGTGTGTGGTGAGAGAGTGGTGAGTGTGTGTGGGTGAGTGTGTGGTGAGTGTGCAGTGCAACGCTGTTGATCGGCATTGTTTCAAGGGGCGGCACACACTTGGCGATGCCACTCTCAATGCACCTTCCTGTCCCTGTGGTGCCACAGTCATTTCTCTGTGCCCTTGTGTGTGTATGCATCTTCTGGTGCCTCTGTGTTGAGACAAACTTGAACGGATTCATCCCCCTCAGCCTCCCCCCCCCCCCCCTCTCTTTTCCCACACACGCACTTTCTTTCAGGAGTATCTGGCCCATCGCGTGGAGACAACTGAGCTGCTTGCCTTCATTGGATGCTCAGGATCCCTCATTAGTATCACACAGCTGTAAGCATTCCCAGACCTCATTAGTCTCACACAGGAGAGAGTGCATCACTGCTCTCCATCACGAGTGTCACACAGATCTTATAGTCATTCCATGAAGCACGCTCGTAGTCATGCACACATTCGCATGTGTGTTCACCATATGCTCTCAACTGCCCCCCACACTCATTCTTCCCTTGCTCTCCTGCAGTCTTCTCCTGGAGAAAGAAGAGCTGCAGTCACTCTCTTTTGATGGCAGCACTGTATGTTCGCTTTGTTTCAGTACCCTCAGGTCTCAGAAATTCCTCAGATATCTTTGCCCCTCCACCCTTGTACTACTGTCGTACATAAAACATGAGAGGCGAGCGGTGCTTGGCTATTATGCAAAGGTTTGCTTCTTGTTTGAACACGCAATTATACAAATGAATACACATGCATATACCCGTGTTTCCTCCCAGGGAACCCCTCCCTCACTCTCTTATTTTCCTCCTCTCCCCACTCACCCCTCAGGTGCTCCCAATGGTGGTGTTCTCTCTCGCCCTCTTCGCCTTCTACTCCCTCACTCCCCTCATGCTTCGTGTAAGCTGCCCATGTACATGTGAGCTAGCGGCATGGGAATGATCCCTCCTTTTCAGATGCGTTTTCTCCACTAGCTGCCCTACCGTAACCATGCCTAGACGGAAAGAATGTAACCAAAATCACATCCGCTCCACATCACATCTGCTCCACAACACATCTGCTCCACATCACCTGCAATATCTTCTCAAGCTCTCCTGCTCTCTCCCCCCCCCCTTCTTCTTCCCCCCACCTAACCCAGCTGGGCGGTGCGGCTCTCTTCAACCTCTCCCTCCTCACCTCAGACCTCTGGGCCGTGGGTGTGTCCGCTGTTGTCTTCAACCAGCCCGTGAGTCTTTCGTTTCAATTCTTGAGTCTCGAGCCCTGAGTCTTGTCTTTGAAGTCCTGGGGAACATGCCATTTCACAAGTCCCTTGCCAGTTGTGGGAGTGTCTCCTTGGGTTCAGGGTCTAGGGTTTAGTGTAGAGCCTTGACTCACAAGTCACGAGTCGTTGGCCTTCCTGTAAGGTCCCGCTCAATGCACCACATTCCTCAAATCATATCATGCATAGCTCTAGTACAAAGATCCAGTCTACCAACCCACATGGCGATTTGTGTTAGTGTTCCTGCCTTCTTAATCTTGGTTGCCCATAGGGTTTTGTCTATTTCTTCTCCAAAACTTGCACGCTGGCATGTGTTGCATTGAATGTTGTATGCAGGTTGAGGGAATTTATTTCGCTTCTCTTGTGGTGGTCTCTGTGGGTCTCGTAATTTTTAGCTTAAGATGAAGTGGACAATGCACTTGTTTACTTTGTTTGGTTTTGGTTTGTGCATTTTAGTGCACTATTCTCTCATATGGCAACATGGATAGCGAGCACAAAAACGCAAATTTCGCGTGCTCCAAGTATGTGTGGCGGGAAACGAAGCTCACTGTTGCTTCCGTTGGGACGGTTCGTAAACGCAAAAACCTGCTTTCGGACGGTATGGGAAAATGTTCATGAATTTAGGGTCCAGAACTTGGAACTCGAATTTCAAGTTTGGCTCCTGAGGCAAATGATTTTGTTAACAACCGTGCAAATGTGGTTTCAAAGCCCTGGGTTTTGACGTGTCTAGATGTTGAGTGGGACTGGACCAGCAGAGGCTATGAGGGAAAGGGGATGGGGCTAAAGCTTCTTTTGCCAAAACGGGCAGTGTCCATTGGTGCACCTAGAGGGATATAGCGCCAAGTAAAGCCTGCCTGATAAATTCGCACTCTTATTTCGGTCACCCTGCATATTTTCTTGACGTCAGGAGGCTGGAGCCCGGATTGAGCCTTCCTTACCTTCTGACAGGCGGCTCCAGAATTGATTTTTGCGCTCCGATGTCGGCGAAGAAATTTTGCAATTTGATCGCGCTCCGTTGGATTGATGATGATGCTTTGTCTGCTGTCCGTCACTCCAACTTCCGCACCCCCACCTCTTCAGTTGTTGCTGACACCATCACCAGGAAACCCGCCCCTGTGCTCGTTGCACCAACAGCTGGACACTTAGCCAGCGGTGAACACAAGCCCCTTGCGGCATTTCCGTGGCTGTGCGATAGTCTCTAGCCACGCTGGTAGTTAAGAGAAACGCCTAGATTTCTCAAACGATCAGTTTCGTGGGGGGTAGTAGGCAGCGTGCAGGTTTAGAACGAGCAGCAGCTTGTGCGACTCCGAGTTGCTGCCTTTTCCGCTTCAGCTCGCAGCTGCTGAGGCTTGAACATCCGACAAAGCCCCGAGATCAGCTGCCTCAGGAGGAGCCATTTCGCTTCGTCCTTGAAGTATTTCTCGCTTTTATTCGCAGACCCCCGTCTCCCCTCTTCAGCCGCTCTTCGCGGGGGAATAGTCGACTCGCGTTCTCTTTTTAAATCGGTGGGAACACTGCGGCTTGCAGAGAGGCCATGACGATCCAGACGTGCGCGCGCTTTTATTCCCTCGCCATTGGCATTCTCCTCGCATGCGTCGCGATCTCAGGTGTGGTGACCCCAGACGTGACTTCTCGCGTGTGTCGCTAACCTCCAGCGGGGTTCCAAGACCTTGAGGTGACTCGAGGGACATTGCTTTCGCTTCCTCAGCACTGCCATTCGAGCTGAGTTTTGAGTCGATTCAAAACTCGGCACTGCCATTCTCCTCGCATGCGGCTCGTTCATGTTCGCATGGGCTCGTAAGATGGCTCTCGTTCCCTCCGAGGAAGACAGATCGCTCTGGGGATTAAATTGCATCGAACTAACGATTGCGCCACTAAGGCCCCGTAGATAAAGTCGCATCCCATTCAGACGGATTGGCAATGCAGGAAGAGCTCCGATATAGACAGAATTGTGCTGTTGTTCTCGACAGTCGCGCCACACGCCCATTCCCACCAGCGGCATGTCATTCGCTCGACAGACGGATAGCTCCACCGCTGGTTGGGAAAGAGACACAGGATGGTTAGGAAACGGGGAGGAGGACGCACACGCAAAGAGAGGAAATTAAGGGAGAGGGGGGGAGGGAGGAGGGGAAGCTGGGAGGAGTGACTAGGAGACCCCTTGGCGCAAATGGTTGCGCGGAAAGGTCTTTCGTTTGGGGAAGGAGAAACTAGGAGGCCCCTTTCCGCGGGAGGTTTAACCTGCGGGTCGGCGAGTAACGACTAGGAGCCAGTAGACAGAGGAGCTGGGGGCCCAACTCTTTTGTTGGGGCATATGTCGGACTCATAGTAAAACTCGATATGCAGGAGTTGAGGCACGTAAGACGAACTCGGGATGTAGGACTGCCAGTGGGCGCTTCTCGCTTCAGTTGACAAATCGCGCTTCCTCCCTCTCGTGCCACATCGCGCCTTTCCCTTGTTCCGCACGACAGGCAGCCCGGGAAAGGCCGTCTCTCGGTTGGCGCGCACGGCTGAACGTGTCAAGCGTGTTCAACGCCGCAAAGCTCGCTGTTATAACCCGCACCCCCCTCGCGGCCCCGCCCCCCCCCGACAGGCAGTTTGGGAGTGGTGGCAGCACGGCCGTCTCTCCGTTGGCGCTCACCGCTGAACGTGTCAAGCGTGTTCAACGCTGCCAAGTTCGGCGCGAGCAAGCAGAGCAAGAGCAGCGGGTTCATCGGCCTGCCGTACAGTACGTTCATCGCCCCTGTCGCCCCTGTCACCCCTGTCGCCCCTGTCGTCCCTGTCGCCCCTGCCTACTCATCGCTTCGTTGGGTTCCCAACCCCCACAAGCTCCCCCTTCCATTTTCCTAGGCTTTGCCCTGCGACTGGATCCCGCCACTGGAAGCCGTGTTTCGCCACCAACCATCCCACCAAGCATCCCAGTAACCAAGCATCCCCCGCCACCATGCATCTGTGTATGCGCACCCCCAGCCTGTTGCGCCACCCTCACGTCAAAATCGCCCTACGTGTGAAGGCAGGGTAACCTGAAGGCAGGGTAACCTGAAGGCAGGGTAACATGGAGGCAGGGTAACCTGAAGGCAGGGTAATCTGAAGGCGGGGTAAGCAGGGCCTCTGTCGCCCTCGCACAAGGAGCCCCTAACCCCGCTTCAAATCACGGGATGGCGGCATGCTCGCTCGGGCCACAGATTCCCTTTCCTGCCCCCGCTTGCTCCCCCCTTTCCTGCTCTCTTTCCCCCACAGGGAAGATTCGCACCACATCTGCAGGAATGGCAATGGCCCCTGTCCTGCCTCTCGTCCCATGCCGCTGCCCTCTGTTTCTCTCCTTTGCCCAACTCCGTGCGCCTTCAGGGGAGGTGTACGCCAAGCTGACAGGCAGGGCCGTTCCAGGTTCGAAAGGAGACAAGCAGGCCCACGGATGGCTCGACATCAACGTCTACAAGTGAGAACCTAGCACCTCCTGGGACCTGGTTTCATGTGCCCGTGCCTCAACTCCTGTGTTGCAATTGTGCTGTCACCACTCCAGCATCCTCGCCCTCACCCTTGTGACCCACGTCCTTTCCTCCACCTCCCCCTCCCATGAACAACCCCAACAGGTGGAACAACGAGTACAACGTTCGTTTCTTCACCTCGACCCTGGGCCTGTCGCGAAACGAGGTGCCCACCTCAGTCACCCTCCACAGGGGCAACCCCAAACGCGACGGCACAAGTGACACCAACCTGGTTCTCTCTTTCGACTCGCTACAAGCAGCCTCGGGTGAACATACAGGTGGCAGCTCTGCTGCGTCGACCCTTACGTTTCCATGGTTGGCTGTTGACCCCACGCCCCTGCAGCGGTTACGCGGTTACAATGGGCATGGGTTTATGCAGGAAGGCACAGTGTGGAAGGCACGGGGTGTACAAGTTGACTCAACAGGCAAGTCACTGCGCAGGTTACTGGATGAGCTTATAAAGAGACCGGGGAAGTTCTACGGAGTGGTGAAAACACCCTCATTCCCCGATGGGGCTGTGCTTGGGCGGCTGCAAGGTTCGCTGGTTACAAAGTTGCTACACTGAGTTGCTACATTGAGTATGCACTGTAGTCCCTCGCATTGTTCAGCAACCAGCCTATGCATTCCAGGGCCAAGCATGCCATCTTCCATGCTCCAGCCGTTTTGGAGGCCTAGGCTTTTCCAAGCTGCTGTTGCTGTTGCTTCAACAGCAGCTGCTGCTGTTTGGAGTAAGTCAAAAGTGCCATTAGCATTGCGCAGATTGGGTATATGACAGCCACCATGCCAGGATATGCACGTTGCAACTGTCGAGAGACCCGCCGGGGTTACCCTTGAGAAGCTCCTATGGGAAGGGCCTGGGGCTATGGGCGCATTGCCCCACTATTAATACCGTAACCATTTTAATCCAGTGGTTAGTGGCTGAATTCTTGACATGGTATCAGAGCGTTGGTGACTCGGGTTCGATTCCCAGTGCTAGCACTGTAGAGGCGCTCGTGTCCTCCGCCTATCCCAGCGAGGGGGGGTGTCGAGAGACCCGCTAGGGTTACCCTTGAGAAGATCCTCGTGGAAGGGCCATGGGTGCAGAGCCTGGGGGGCTATGGGCGCATTGACCCGCTATTAATAAGCCATTTTAACTCAATGGTTAGTGGCTGAGTTCTGACAGCAACTTCTTCGTGCTCTTAGCAGATCATCATGCAGAGAGGCAAGAAACAAGGCTCTTCTAACAAGAACTCTAAATGGCAGCCCTTGAACTATTCCGTGCTTTAAAACCACAGGCTAAAATAGCAGAGGGGGGGCCTCAAGAGCGCCGTTCTTGAAGATGGTTCCTTTGAAAAAAAACGGGTTCCCAGTACGATTTCCCGAGGTGCGTTTTTTTAGCAGCTGAACAATGATACAAACGCAGTGGTGCCGATTTGACGCGTGTGCGACGAGGCGGGAAACGCGTGCGCGACTCATTTGACTTTTCGCCAGCTTGGTGAAACGAAAGAAACAAACTGTACCTCGGATATATTCGGCGTTCGTGTTCAAGCTTCACATTACGAGGCACCCTCGACAGCGACTTGAGACTAGGGCAAAGGTGAACTGTGCAACTTGTGAGCCGAACAGCCACACGGGTTGCGCGAAATGCGACCTTGTTGAACCTCGGGTTAAAAACCTACTGCATACCCATGGAGCTCTTGAAAAAACTGAGCTGTGTGAGCGGTCAGTCGCAACTTCATCCGCCGAGCATCTGACGCCAAATCAATCGTCGCGCACCAATAACGTGTTAACGTAGAAACGAATGATTACTAGAGGTGGAAACCTAGAACAAATACTAGTTGGTTGTACTCACTAGAAGCATACCTCAGTCTAGCCTATAACTTCTACATAGATAATATGTATAAGTTGACACACCCCCTAGGCTAGACAAGGGGTGAAACTAAACAAGAAGCAAACAGCTCAGGGCGGCACTACTAGTCCAACCACTGAGGCAGGGGTCTGGAGACCAGTCAG